CTCACTTCACCGCTAGAATCGAGTCACTGAGTGGAAAGTGAACAACTTGCAAATGACTCCCAGATCAGACATCCAACTTCTGGGGGAAATGGAAATCAGCACTGCATACAGGCTTTCTGGTTGTAGGAAAAGTGGAACAGACTACACAGGGTACCGCTGGCTGGAATGCTAGCCTGGAATAAAACAAACAATAACAAACTTGTCAGATATGAAACTATATCTATCAAAATGACTGAGCACAACTTTAAACCACTTACTTCCTTTTAGAAACAACCAGAGAGAATGAAGCAGCAGCAGGTCCTTCCCCAATTGATGCGACATCAGGTGAAATCATATAATAGCAACCTAAGGTTTTTCTAAGCAATCATTTGCATTGATAGCAGTTTCAACAATACTAAAAGTATTATCCTCAACTGTATGCTGGACCAATGGTTCTCAACTAGTGCACAATAATATAAGCATAACTTCCTTAGGAAGCCAGTGTGCACAGCATATTGAGAAAAAAAATAAAAATAAAATAGAAATATTACAGTATAACTTCACTCCATTGGGCACATTTCTGGAAACTCAAAGGAACTCATACAAAACTCTGTTGTTAACCTGCAAGACACACTAACTCACTCAGGGGGCAATCGGAACAAGTCACATGTAATAAAACATCTACTTCAGGTGACATTACGGAAATCAGAAAAGTCAAAATCTTTAGATTTGTCAGTAAGCATGTGTTCACCATTTTTTAGCTCCTAAAAGTCTTATTTTACACATTTTTCTTGACAATAGCAAAATATTGCTGACAATCACCACACATAGCGCCAGATCAACAGATTCTCATCAATCCTTCCTCTTACAATGCAAGAAGTGAAAATATGCTGTTTGTCACATCTGTTGTTTGCACGCTTTCCATGCTCGATCTAGAGGTTTGTCTTGCAAGGTATGGAATTATGTTTAACAAAAATCATATCTTAAAAATGTTCTCTGCATATCCGATCGAATACTGTGATGATAACTCTTGGAGAATAAAGCTACTTAGCGCATAATAACTTGTCACAAAGTGACAAGTCACAAATTGTTTGCACAATCAACAAAATGAAAATGTTTGCTCATCATTCTAACAACTTGAACTCTAATTTCAGAATTGCGCAAAATAAAAACTGTAATAAGTAGCACCATATGTGAAACCAGACACAGCTGCAGTCCAACCACCAGACAAGTGTGTCTGATGACTGAAAGGAAACCTTGTGTCTAGAAAGATAACTTACAGTTCACCACGTTCCTTGCTGGGGCCCCTAGGTGTCTCTGAGTGAAGACTTATCTTTGACATATGTGCACATTTAGCACATGAAAATGGGGTGTTAGGGATTTTAGATTAGAAGCTGCACAAGATGCTTCAAGTCCAATTATGAAAGCAGATAATGGTAAAGGATATTCAGACCGTATATGTATAAAGGTTCACATTTGTGTTAAGTGTCTGTCCCTGGTTTTCTCACCTTTACCTCATTCTAAAAGTCTCTAGCTCCTGATTGGTTAGTTCATGGACAAGGGCTCAGAGGGAGGAAATTTACATGGTGGTAGAGATGAAATGTGAACAATAAAGATGCTTCTTATAAGGTTATCCATCTCCCTCTTGCTGATTCTTCTAGATAAGACAGAACTGCATGTGGACCCACATATAACAACAGGAGTTCAACCTTATCAACTAAAACAGTCATGTTTGATTATTGATTTAATCTCCCCCAGCCTATTACAAAATAAATATGGTCACTGTCTTTGTAACACCACCAAACAAATCAATAAATGAAAGCATCTTATTTTATTCTGTGAAGGTGACGTCAATGCTGAAATGCATTATGCTTAGAGACAAGGTGGGGGAGGTTGACAGATTAAGGAAGTGTGAGAAGAGACACAATAGACAACATGCACCACGATAATTAGTATTGTGTAGTAGAGTGTGTATTATGTATAGCAAAACAATCACCTTACCACTTAAATAAATGAAAAATAAAAATTAACTTATTCACTTGGAACATTCAAACTGAGGAATTCATTTGTGAGGTTTTTAAAGAAAAATATGCTTAGGAAATATTTCTATGCTAACATGAATTCAGTGGTGGTATACCTTCAAAACAAACAAACAAACAAACAAAAAACAAACAAACTTTCTTTGTTGTCTTTGTTTGATAGCAGCCTCCACCCTTTAGCAGACGATTGGGAGTACAGCACCTCCTCTGTATGTTTCTTTCTTCTGCAGTCCTCACCTAGGATGTCTGAACACCAGCAGTAAAATGTAATAACAGCATATTGTGTGCTGCACATGAAGTGTGAAGTGCAGTTCAGAGAGTTCAATGGGGTTTTTCTTCATTTCTGTTTCTTCTTCATCCTCTTTATCTTGAAGTCAGACAGAAGATCTGCAGGCTATGGGGGCTAGACACACAACAACACACATACGCACAGACAAGTCTGCCCCTATGCATTATTAAAACACTATTAAAGCAGTGTCGCACACAAGCAGTAAACCACACACATGGGTCCTCATCTGCTGGGCTTTATCACCATGGTGATGGTTGTGCAGCTGACTTGAGGCCAGCTGGTGGAGTCTAGCTGTGATGATGTGATGTGAGTGACATGTATGTGAATTAGAATGAGAGACAGAACAAAGAGAGAAGACATCACACAGCAGCACTGAGAATGAGCCTACCCATAAAACTGCCTGGAAGCACCTCAAACACAAGGCACAGCTCACATACACGGTTTATTGATTCTTGTATTGATTGCTAGTCCCAATGAGCATTTACTTTGCAATTCATTTCAGCATCCTTAAAGTGGTAGGAGTAGCATTAACACTACAGACAGTGTGGCATCTGTTCCTTCCAGTCTCATATAGACTGTAAGGAGCGTGCTGGGGCAGGTTTGCTGTCTGGTTGGCACAAGCAGAGATATGTGTTTGTTTCATTTCCTGATTACAGACTTTCTACTACCAAACATCCAGGACATCATTCCACACTGACTGAATCACTCTTTTGAAGGACTTTCTTTTCTCACCTTACTCCGAATTCCACTTCACATTTGGCTAGGACAAGCATTGTTTGTACATAGAAACAACACATTATATTGCAAGTACTTTAACTCAGTTTTGAGGGGGTACAGGTATGGGCATTTCTGGGAATTCAAAGGGCTTCAGAACTTCCATTTTATTCTCGTGGGAAGAATGTAAGAATGAGGCATAATTGCAAGGTCAACACCGTGGACCTCTGAAATTATATTGAAGTGGAAGAAAAGAACATTTGAAAAGCACTTGACCTGGTACTGAAAAGTTAGATGAGAAATTTGAATTGGATTGCCATGTTTCTCACACGACATTTAGTACACAAATGAAATTATTATTCGTTAGGATCTCACAAGAGACTGAAAAAAAATCTATTCATCTGCAATAATTAATATTTGGTGGCATGTTTCTGTTTTGGAAACTCTGCATTCTACACAAATATAGCATAGAAAAGAACAGGCATCAGTGACAACAAATACAGCATCAAGTGTACTATAGGATTAAAAAGTCAGACACTGTATGAAAGCAGAGGCTGGCCTCCAGTACTAATGATGTACTTGAATGTTCATTTAGTTTACTGGAGGGTTCTGTTGAGTTTTTAAGACTGTACTGCAAACAAAACAAAACAAAACAAAACAAAACAAAACAAAACAAAACAAAACAAAACAAAACAAAACAAAACAAAGATCACTGACTTTTACCGTCACTGACAGTGGAAAATAAAACTTTTCACATTTTTGTCAGAATGGATTTAGTGGATTTTATTCCTCATCATTTAAAAACTCCCCCAATACCTCTATGTTATAGAGTTCTAAGTGGCATGACTGTATGAAATATTTCGAAACATTTCAAAAGTTAGGCTGAAAGCTGAAAATGATAATAGGACGTGTAAAGCACACTGATCATGTGAGTTTGATGTTTACAGCATAGGTTACATGACTGTGTCGGTTGCACATCTTTCCTGTCTGCGGTCTTTGTCTTCATTTGTCTGTGTGTTTGTTTTTTATACATCTCTTGCTGTTTTAGACTGATGGCTATTATGAATGCCTGTTTTTTTCTGCTGAAATACTCGTGTTCCTCCTCTTATTCCCCTTATTCCTCCCCCTAATTATTTTTAATGTTTCATAACTTTCTTTAAACAAACATTTAAAGAAAACTGTATTTTTTTAAGCACTGAATATAAATTACTGTTGAGGCAGGAATGACTCTAATAATCATGCAGTTAACTGATAAAGCCTTGGCCTTTGATGTATTGATTATTTTCTTTCCTTTTATGTAATCCAGCAACCTGAGATTAGTCTCAATAGAATATCTAGACTTTACTTTCAGTTAATGAGCATGAGATAAACTGATATGTGGTTGCTAACACCATTGTTGTAGCTCTGGCTCCACCCTGAGGCTGAACTGTGTTATCTGCTCTGGATACTCTTCAGCTGGGTGTAGACAGAAAGTGCTGAGTATATGGTATTTCAAAACTGTTTAATATGCAGGACTGCTTTGTTTTTTCAACACGGGATTAAATATTTATAATGATTTGCAAATTGCTGTTTTCTTTCATTTATATTCTAAAGACTGTACCAGTGATTTTGGAACTGGATTATACAGCGTGACCACTTGTGTGAAAAGCAGTAGGAATGTATATACAAATGAATCCATTACCTGTCACTGAAAATTGTCACCAGTGTTCGATCTGGGTGAGAGGGCACTAAATCCTCACTGAAAGTCACCAAACATACCTCCGACTGTGCAGACAGTCACAAAACATAAAAGTAAAAAAACATAGTCAAGTCATTACACATAAATATTTTAAGGTAGAATAACGTTATATGTAGTAGGTCAGAGCTGATTTAAAAGATTTGTAACATAGTTTAGAAGTTTCCAAAGGAAGGTTTTCAGGTTATCAGCTGCAGTTATCAGTTTTCCTTGACTTTGTGTCCACCTTGAACATGAGGCATAATTTTCCATAACAGATGCATTTTTATTAAAGGCTGACATATAAAACAGAATGACACAGCAGTAGCAGCGAAACACACAGACAGATATAATTAGAGAGAAATGCACCTGGCAGTTTAGTGTTACAGTCTTCTTTATTTACATACATGTTACTTTACATTTGACTTTGACTAGTACTCTGTACTAAGATTATAGCAAGACGTATATACGACTGTCCAAGCCACCAGGAACCAGCAGTGAAAAACTAAGATTAAAAAACAAACAAACAAAACATAATAAAGACCATTTTTCTCCATTATAAAATTCATAGTACTTGTACTGGAGTATCATCTAGTGATATTCTCATCAAAAACACAGCTGATTAGGAGAACCAAATAGAGGAAACTCATTTAGGAGGGAACAATGAACTCACTAATATGCCAGAAAATGACTGCTGCCTCCAGCAGAGGTGACACATTCTTGCTATAATTGGATCTACGACACTTCATCAGATACGAGATAGAAATGAGAGTCGTGTAAAGTTCCTCCCCTTGTGCATCAATGGTCACGATTCATTAATTTCAGCCCAGACAAGTGACTATAAACGCATCAAACACACTAGCTGTCATCAGACTGGAGCATCTTCTCGATCTCTTGATCCCACTGGTCATCTTTGTTGCCCGATTCAGTCACCACCTCATACTCCTGAAGTTCTTGCTGCAGCTCCTTTTCCCAATCTGCTGATTCGTCTGGATATGAAAGGGAGGAAATATTATGAGCAAAGCCATTCTCTTACAGAACAAGAAATACTTTGAGCTTAAAAAAAAAGGATAGGAACTCTTCCAAAGCCAACCATCAGGAGAAGGACTGTCCTTCTTGTCCAGCACCAGCTGCTCCATCTCTTTCCTTAGGTCCTCCTGGTTTATGGCCGTTGAGTCAAAAGCATCACTAACAAACTCGGATACTCCGGGACTTGTTGAAATCTCCTCATCTTCTTCATGTGTTGGCTATGAGGGAAAACAGGCAGCAGAGAAAGAGGAGAGCGACTCTTGTTTTTTTTTTTTTTCTTAACTTCTCAAAAGGTGGTTGGAAAAGTTCAACGTGTGCAGTGCTTTTACCTTCTGTATGTCACTGATGGAAACTGGCGGCGTTTTTGGTCTGACATTGTCTACAAAGAAATAACACATTGATATTACAATGGACTTACTCTTTAACCTCTGACCTTTGGACGGTGTCTGAGGTCATTTATCAAAATATGAGCACAAACCTTATTAGCTTTTACCATGGATGCCGCCTGATCCATTTAGGTAACTCTATAATACTATATGATATGACTTCTTTACCTTTCAGTCCTTAAATAAAATATCTAATTTGTTTACCAGTTCAACCAAGCAGAAAATAAAAAATAAATGACGTTTTACATGTTTATATTGAATAATTAAAAAAGACAGATTTCTTTCCCTAATTAAACAATTGAATCAGACATTCAGATATTGTGTTGGAAGTCCACAAGTGCTTCCCAAACAGTCCACAGAGCTTCCCAAACAGTCCACAGGTGCTTCCCAAACCGTACTAAAACAGTATTTAGCTCCATTTTATACATTGTAGCAAAGTACTGTGACTTGGGGGTAGTGTTAAAAATATATGGAACAACTGGTAATGTGGGCTGCTCTTTATGTTTCCACCGGTTTTGATCCTTTAGCTTAGAGAGGAAGCCTTCATTACATAACATGCCTCTTCCTGGTGATCATCCTTTTCCTGGTTCCTTTAGCTTATCAACCAATCAGCATTCTATCTACATAAACCATCACTGTTGGGTAACTTGTTCTTGGCTTTTTGGACAACTGCCCTCAGCGCTACTGAAAGCCTTTGTGTTTGCTGGATTACAATTTCTCTCTCTCTGTAGCCAATGAGCTACTCAAACAGACAAGGACAATAAATTCCACATCAGTCTTAACAAACACTGTATGTGCCCATTTAAATAAGGGAGGAAAAGAGATTTCAGCGATGCATTAAGATGATTGGGTTTTTCCATTTCCTTCATTATTATTTCACATCAAATAGACACCTTCCTTTTATTCTGAATGCTGTTGCCAGAGTATCAATAAAGCCCAAGAAAAGAACACATGGCAGCAATTTCTGCCATCGATTCCAGTGTGTCAGAGAACAATTTAAAGTACTGCTGTTTGGATATAAAGCTCTCTGTGGCTCTAGACCACAAAAGATCTGACTGAGTAATCTTTATTGTACAAGTACTCTTGAATTCTCAGACCATCTGGCAGAGGGATGCCAACTTTTCCTAGAGAACAAAATAAATATAGCTTTTAGCTCCTTTCACAGTATCTGCTTTTACATTTTAAACTGATATCTTTCCAACTTTAAGAGAGAGCTGTGCCCCTTTCTTTCTTACATGGTGTTTAGGTGCCTGCAAACTGTAAAATAACACAGCCTAAGTTGCAGGACTGTGAAGGTCTTTGACTGTATAAACCACCTTTATAAAGCCATGACCAAAGATTTTGAAAAGAGATTTTCAAATCACTACATTTAATTTTTCCATTGTGGAATTGGGGTTGTAAATCTGCCCTGCCTTCCTGCAGCTGTGATACCACAAAGTTTTCTTGGTGATCTCTACCTCTCTAGCAGAGCTAAAAATTCAGACCTGTTAGGACGATGTCTTCAGGTGAAACACTGGCCCCTTTGTCCACACTATCATTCCGCTGCTGCTGGGCTGCCAGGGCTGTGAGCTGAGCCGACTGCTTGATCAGAGACACCCGGTAGAAATAGTTCCGCCAAAACATCTCCTCCTTCACACTGTCAAACACAAACATGTCACCACCCATTTTTAAATATCAGTTTTAGGTTGACTCTGCTATAAATGGAGGCAAAAACAGGTACATTTGCATGCACACACACACACA